TCTGCCTTTGGATCTCCACCATATGACGCATATTTTCATAATTGATCTCATCCAAGACATGATCAGCATCGTAAGTAACATCTCGAAGGTTCTTGAGCCAAAGTTTGACATTCTCATCGGTAACTTCACGTTTCTCAGCATCTTGTAAGACAAGATCCATCATTTTCAATGATCTGCCTAACTTTCTTAAGTCTTTCTTGAAATTCCATAGCAAACTCAACTCTGAAGTGGCGGATGCAAGCAACTTTTCCACTGATGTTTGAATGGTGGCACTGATAACAGCATCCATTGTCTTGCTTTGGAATTGTGTTGTGTGTGATTGATTAATTGATTTTGGAGAGAGAAAGAAGATAGATATACAAAATGCAGTTTTTCTTTTTTCGAATGTTTATCCCAATTTCGATTCTTTGCTTTCTTTTCTCAAATGGTTATTCCAATTCCCATTCTTTCCTTTCTTTTCTAAATTGGTTATCCAAAGTTGTCCTCTTTGCTTTCTTTTCTCAAATGGTCATCTCAATTTATATTCTTTGCTTTCTTTTCTCTTTAGCACTAACTTTGGAGAAATAATTGTCCGAATTTCTATTCTATTTTCTTTTGGTTATCTCAATTTATATTCTTTGCTTTCTTCTCTTTTCCTCTTCTTTGCTTTCTTCTCTTTTTCTCTCTAACTATGGAGAATATTACTGTTCAATTTATATTCTTTGCTTTCTTTTCTTTTTTTTCTCTCGAACTTTGGAGAATATGACTGTTCAATTTATATTCTTTGCTTGCTTTTCTCAAATAATTATTCACATTTTCGTTCTTTGCTTTCTTTTCTCAAATGGTTATCTCGATATATATTCTTTGCTTTCTTTATTCAAATTGTCATTTGAATTTATATTCTTTGCTTTCTTTCCTATATTTTTCTTTCTGACTTTAGAGAATATTTAGTCTCATGCTAGCTCCCTTAGTGAATTAATTAGTCAAATTACCAAAAAATTATCGTAGTGTAACATCTCTTAAAATATCTCACCTTTTATGAAAATTGGAACACAGTGAAGTTGTCATTTTTCCACGTCTACGTATCCTTCAAAGAACAACCTCCAACACTGATAATGTCTATATGCGCTGGGACCGTAATTCCTCCACTTCGATAAGTTAGGCAGTTCTTGTACTGAACATTCCAATAGTAAGTCATTGATCTATCATCGTACAAAACAAGGATATGATTTGATTATAGTCAAACTGAGAACACAAAAAAGTTAAACAAGGCTATGGATTAGATTGTAGTACAATTAAAAGTAGAAGGCAAAATCTTCTCTTTTTGTCCTAAATTGTACACCAAAATTTTGACTGCCGAAAAATGATGACAGTCTTGCTAATGGATTGCCATTAAATGACAGAGAGTCAGAGAGTTCTTACTGATAACATGTAAAATAGAAGAGGTTTAGTAAGTCATTGGCCAAGTTCAAGTAGCTTTATTTGCTTAATATTTTAATGTGCAACTTATAAAAATGCCTCTAAAGTTAGATGTCTTTGAAAAATCATATAAAAAATACTTTTTATGTAAAAAATACTTTGTAAAGTTAAGTGTCAATTTTTATTGAAGAGTGACATACTTCTATTAAAAATTGATGTTTGTAATTCAAAAATGTTGTAAAAATAAAAAAATAATAAAAATAAATAAAGAAAGTAATAAACAATAAAAAGTGACAGAAATTCAAAAAAGTGACAAACACTCAAAAAAATGACAAAATTCAAAAAATGATTTATTAAAAAGTTACACACAATTTGCCTACTAAATACCAGTCATCACTTTCTAAAGTTGAGTATCACTTTCTTTATTGTTTGTCACTTAAAAAATGACAGAAACTCAAAAAAGTAATAAAAAATAAAAAATGCGACTGGAAAGAATAAAAAAAAAAAAAGTGATGAAAATTCAAATAAAGTGACAAACTTGAAAAGGTGATAAAAATTTTAAAAAAAAAAAAAAAAAGTGACAAACACCGAAAGAAGTAACAGAAATTATAAAAAAAAAAATGGTGAAACATATTCCCAATCTTTACTTTGCCATCTACCATTCACATAAAGTTTATAACAGAAGCTTACAATGTTCAAATCAATATCAACATAGAGAAAGCATTTATCTCACCCCAAAGTTACAGTTATAATACAGAATGCTTCCCTTATTGGGCAAAATAAACTGCATGGATAGACACCACATACATAAGAACACTCTAAAAAATTAACAATAAACTTTCATAATATCTACCTAATAATGTTCATTCTAATGTTATACTATCCTTTTTATAAACGCTAATTCAGTACGCCAAATGCATCCGACATGTGTATTGAGATTTTGCCTTAGATGTGACCTCAATTAAAAAATAAATAAATTGCGAATCCTTTTGTATGAAAATCCTTTAACAATTGAAAAGGCCAATGTTCCATATGATTATAAATATTTTTTATATAGTGAAAAATCTTAATTGTCCATAATTTTTTCTCTGTCTTTTTGTATTTTTGGGTAAATAACAAAAAAGTATACCTTTCAATGTTATTGTGGAAAATGAACATACATTTCATTTTATGACATTTTCGCTCATACTTCCACATTTCATTGTGCAGAAGGTCATTTTTATCTATTTGTTGACGATTTTAACCTCCTATTCAAATAAAACAAAATGAAGAGGAAAGGAAATATAAAGAACTAATTGCAATCATATATAAGACTGATTTGTAATTTTTTGAAAATTTGGGATTATAGTTACGATTAGTTCTTTATTTTTCATTTCGTTATTTTTTATTTGAATAGGAGGGTAAAATAGTCAAAAATAGATGAAAATGACATTCTATCAAATAAAAGGTGGAAATAGGGACGAAAGTGTCCAAAAATGAAAGGTACGGATGTTTTATACAATGATATTGAAAGGTAGGGACGTTTTGTGATATTTACCCTTATATTTTTCTACATGTGAAAATCAAAGAATTGATTTTTGTAGTCTGCCATATTAGACATTATTTTATTTTGTAGGTCTTCCATCTAGACTTTTGTACATTTATAGAAATCCAGCCACATTTCCGTAAGCAAAAGCTTGTTAGAAAACCTTAGTTTCAGCAATTTAACTTCACTTGAGCTAGTAATACTTAAACGTATTTTTGTGTGAAGCTCTGTATAGGTAGTATTTGGGGGTGGGGGGGGGGGGGGGGAACCATTT